CTCACCTCAGCCTCCCAAAGGCGTGGGATTACAGGCTGAGCCACTGAGCCCGGCTACTAATGTTTTGATTTATGGTAGAACTAAGTCTTGCCACGTGGCCCAGGCACACCAGTCTAGCAAGGGGCTCAAGGAATCCTCTCATCTCTGCCTCTCAATGTGCTGAGATTACAGGTATGAGATGCCACGCCTTACTGTTAACTACATTTTAAAAGAAGAATTACAAGCCGGGATCAGTAGCTCAGCCTGTAATCCCGCGCTTTGGGAGGCTGAGGTGAGTGGATTGCCTGAGCCCACGGGTTCGAGACCCGCCTGGACAACTTGGCGAGACCTCCTCTCTACAATAAATCAAAAATTAGCTGGGCGTGGTAGCATGCTCCTGTAGTTCCAGCTACTTGGAAGGCTGAGGCGGAAGGATCGCCGGAGCCCAGCAGGTCGAGGCTGCAGTGGGGAGTGGCCACTGCACTCCAGTCTGGGCGACAGAGTGAGACTCCAACTCAAAAAAATAAAATAAAACAAAAGAATTACAAAAATGTCATCTTCACTAAGATATACAGACATACACTTTGTTATGTGTATATTTAGGGATATCTTCACTGGGGTTGATTTTGAAAATTGTTTTATAGCACAGTCATTTCTTTAAAAAAAAAAAATCCATGTCTGACTCAGTGGCTCAGCCTATTATCCCTGCACTTTGGGAGGCCGAGGTGAATGGATTGTCTGAGCCCGCAGGTTCGAGACCAGCCTGGGCAACTTGGCTAGACCTTGTCTCTACAATAATTTTTTTTTTTAAATTAGCTGGGCATGGTAGTAGGCGCCTGTAGTTCTGGCTGCTTGGAAGGCTGAGCCCAGCAGGTCGATGCTGGGGTGGCCGTGAGCATGTCACTGCACTCCAGCCCCGGTGATGGAATGAGACTTCAACTCAAAAAAAAAAACCCTCAAATTTTATGATGGAAATCATTGTTTGCACTATTCAGAATAAGTATAAAGAAAATAATCACTAACTCTTCTCAGTATCTAAAAATCAGAAATTAGGATGAATTATTAAAAAGGGGGAATTCATTCTTCAAAGATAAATTTTAAAAGACAATATGAGTAATAACTAAAGAAAAATGACTCATTATGTAAATATTTAGTAATGAAGATTTCATTTTGACAGTGTATTAGTGATGTGATTGGTATGTTATATTAAAGCATCAAAACGAACTGAAGTCATGTTTATACCCCAAAGCTTGAGTATAGAGGAATGAGTCACTGCTAATTAAAACATAGCATTCCAAAAGGAACTGAGTGTTCTTGAAATTCAAGCATCTTTTTTTTTTTTGAGTGGGAGTCTCACTCCGTTGTCCAGGCTGAAGTGCAGTGGTACACTCACAGCCACCACAGCCTTGACCTGCTGGGCTCAGGCGGTCCCTCCGCTCCAGCCTTCCAGGTAAAATTCAAGCATATTAAGAAGAAACACGGGCCGGGCACGATGGCTCACGTCTATAATCTCAGCACTTTGGGAGGCTGAGGTGAGAGGATTGCCTGTCCTCACGGGTTTGAGACCAGCCCAGGCAACTTGGACTTGGCAAGACCCTCATCTCTACAATAAATCAAAAAATCAGCCAGGCGTGGTAGCACATGCCTGTAATTCCAGCTACTCGGAAGGCTGAGGTGGAAGGACTCAAAAAAAAACTCAAAAAAAAAAAAAAAGAATAAACACAGCTCGGAATGGAATGAAAAATAAGGAACAGGCACGCTGGGCTTTTTATATCCTTATCTTCATTCTCCAGATTCTAGAGTCATAGGCATGCCCCCCCACCATGGGTAAGATTTACTGATTCACCTAAAAGGTATTTCCTGAATACAGAAAGGTTGGCCAGGCGCGGTGGCTCAAGCTTGTAATCCCAGCACTTTGGGAGGCCGAGGCCAGAGGATTGCCTGAGTCCAGGTGTTCGGGACCAGCCTCGGCAACTTGGTAAGACTTCGTCTCTGCAGTAAATCAAAAGATTAGCCGGGCGTGGTGGCATGCGCCTATACTTCCAGCTACTTGAAGTGGGAGGATCACTGGAGCCCAGCAGGTCGAGGCTACAGTGGCCTTGAGCATGCCACTGCACTCCAGCCTGGGCGACAGAGTGAGACTCCGACTCAAAAAAATAACAGAAATGTATCTCAGTGGGTGCAGTGGCTCACGCCCGTAATTCCAGCACTTTGGCAGGTAGAGGCAACAGGATTGCCTGAGTCCAGGGGTTCAAGACCAGCCTGGGCAATTCGGCAAGACCTCGTCTTTAGAATAGATCAAAAAATTAACCAGGCATGGCGGCACATGCTTGTTGTTCCCACTACTTGGAAGGCTGAGGTGGAAGCCCAGCAGTGCAGTGGCTGTGACTGTGATCGTGCCATTGCACTCCAGCCTGGGCGACAGAGTGGGACTCCTACTCAACCAAAAAAAGAGAAATGTATCTCAAGGTTGAGGAACCAGAGAAATAAATAGAAGGAAGGCAAACTAGTAAATTACTTTGGCTTGCTCAGGAGTTTGAGGCTATCCTAGGCAAAATAGCGAGACCCCCATCTGTTGGCAGGACCCCCAGTGAGTTCAATAAGTGTGGCACACTGTCCAAGAGGCCAAGAAAAAGACCCAGAAAAAGCAGGTGAGACAGAGTTTGTTGGAGACTATCATACAGTGTGTCTAGGGGCAGCCGGCAGGTCAGGAAAAAACTGTTTGTGGCTGGTTATATAGTAACCTTCACATATCAGCCTTTCCTTAGCAACCACCACCTACCTTAAAACAAAGGGCCTCGGTCCCTTGTATGTCCAGCTTCCCAGGGTACGGGCCAGGGTCCAGATGGTCCTCACAGGTATGGTGTAAACACCCAGGCTGGCTATTCCTGGAGTTCATGTCTAGGAACGCTGAGCACACATTCACCGAAGAACATAGGAGTATTCTCGGGGATACTTGAGGTGTGCTGCCTGGCAAGACGTGCCCATCATATACTGGCTCTATTTTTTTATAATCTTCGGAGAAAACTTCAGGGACAGGTGGCCCTATTAGTGAGTTCTATCAAACATTTAAAGAAGAAAAAAGTTCTAATTCTACACAAACATTCAGAAAATAAGGGAGAAAGGAACACCTCTCTTTCACCTCTTTTTTTTTTTTTTGAATTGGAGTCTCACTCTGTTGCCCAGGCTGGAGTGCAGTGGCCGCTCCAGGTCACTGCAACCTCGACCTGGCTGGGCTCCGGCGATCCTTCTGCCTCAGGCTTCCAAGTAGCCAGAACTACAGGAGCATGCTACCACGCCTGGCTAGTTTTTTTGTTTTTTGTTTTTTGTTTTTATTGTAGAGACGAGATCTCGCCAAGTTGCCCAGGCTGGTCTCGAATACCCGGGCTCAGGCAATCACTCACCTTGGCCTCCCGAAGTGCCGGGATTACAGGCTGAGCCACCAAGCCCAGCCTCACCTCTTTTTTGAGGGCAATATTGCCACAGTACCAAAACTGACCAAAAACATTTCAGGAAAAGACTGACTACTGGTGTTCATCATGATCATAGATTCAAAATCATTAAGTGAACCCAGCAACATACAAAGACAGGAGTACATCAGACCAAGTAGAGTTGATCTCAGAATGCAAGGTGGGTTTTTTTTGTGGTTACATAAATCAAGCCATTTATTATAGGCTAGTGGTGTCTCAAATGGTGGAGCTTCTATTGGTCTTTCTTTTTTTTTTTGAGTTGGAGTCTCACTCTGTCGCCCAGGCTGGAGTGCAGTGGCCGCTCCCGGCCACCGCAGCCTCGACCTGCTGGGCTCCTGCGATCCTTCCGCCTCAGCCTTCCAAGTAGCTGGAACTACAGGCGTGCACTACCACGCCCGGCTAATTTTTTGATTTATTGTAGAGAGGAGGTCTCACCAAGTTGCCCAGGCAGGTCTCGAACCCGCGGGCTCAGGCAATCCACTCACCTCAGCCTCCCAAAGGTACAGGATTACAGGCTGAGCCACTGAGCCTGGCTTCTACTGGTCTTTCAATTCCTTCAGTCTGACGGCTGACTTTACTGTGACAGCAGAAGTGGTATTGTAGGTCCAGGCTCTACCAGCCACTGTTTTAATGCAGGAGCCACAGTGCCAGGTGCCCACAGCGCGCCTCTTAATCTTGGTTTTGCCACAGAAGGAGCAAGTGTACTTGGCATGCTGGCTGATCTCGATCTTCTTCACCATCTTCTGGAGCGAGGCCCCATAGCAGGTCCCATATTTACCAACGATTCCAACCTTCTTGGTGCGTTTGGCCATAAGCTCAGAGAGCGTAAGATGGTTGTTACTTTAAAGTCAACTTATAGCCAGGCATGGTGGCTCAAGTCAGTAATCCCAGCACTTTGGAAGGCCAAGATGAGAGGATTGCTTGAGCTGAGGAATTCAAGACCAGCCTAAGCAACACAGTGAGACTTCATCTCTCAGAAACAAGAACCAAACAATAAAGATAAATAAATAAGTCAGGCATAGTGGCTCATGCCAGTCTGTAGTTCCAGCTACTTGGGAGTCTGAGGCGGAAGGATCTCCTAGGCCAGGAGGTTGAGGGTGTGGTGAGCCATAATCATGCCACTGCACTCCAGCCTGGGTGACAGTGAGACCCCCACTCAAAAAGAAAGTCACCAAGCGTGGTGGTGTGGTGGTTCACACTTATAATCCCAGCACTTTGAGAGGCAGAGGCAAGTGGATTGCTTGAGCCCAGAGGTTTGAGACCAGCCGGGGCAACTTGGTGAGGCTTTGTCTCTACAATAAATCAAAAACCATTAGCCAGGCGCGGTAGTTCCTTCACTAGGGAAGCCAACACAGGCAAGTGCAGGGATGTGATTGCCCGAGGCCCCACAGCTAGTGACAGGGCCAGAGCGTGAGCCTGCCACCGTGGCTCAGAACCTGTGCTTCTCTGAGGTTTTTCCCTTCCAGAGGGCATCAGAGGCCGGGTGGATGCCTTGACTACAGGCCGACATGGGTGGGGGAGGGATAGAAAAGGTAACCTTCATCATGCTCTGATTTAACAAGAAAAGGTCTTGGGGACTACAGGGAAGGGGGGCAGGAAGAGGAGATGGGGCAGTGAGACAAGCTTTGGAGAATGCCTGTTCTCCAACTTGAATGTGCTTTTCAGTCCTTTGGGGGATTTAGATCCAATGCAGATTCGGATTCAGATTCAGTTGTTTGGTGTGGAACCTGCAAGTCTGCATTTCCAACACGCTCCCAGGTGATGTCAATGCTGCTGGTTCACAGATCACGCCTTGAGGTGTTAAAAAGATATAATATGGCCAAGCGTGGTGGCTCATGCCTGTAATCCCAGCACCTTGAGAGGCTGAAGCAGGAGGATCACTTGAGGCCAGCAGTTCAAGACTAGCTTGGGCAGCATATCGAAACCCGTCTCTCTCAAAATTTTTTAAAAGTACAAATATAGGGCCAGGCGCGGTGGGATTACAGGCTTGAGCCTGTAATCCCAGCACTTTGGGAGGCCGAGGTCTGGGGATTGCTTGAGCTCATGGGTTAGAGACCAGCCCGGACAACATGGTAAGACTTCATCTCTACAATAAATAAAAAATTAGCCAGGCATGGTGGTGCGTGCCTGTAATTCCAGCTACTTGGAAGGCTGATGTGGAAGGATTGTCTAAGTCCAGCAGATTGAGGTTGCGGTGGCTGCGAGCATGCCACTGCCCTCCAGCCTGGGTGACAGAGTGAGACTCCAACTGAAAACAAACAAACAAACAAAACTAATGAAGCCTTAATGATAAGAGGTATGTAGACTGATAACAATTATGATGCAAAAATCACGGCTGAAATTTTAATATAACAAAAATAGTATTTATGAGGCTTTCATCAAATATTGTGGAAGACTTCCAGTTAAAGAGTTATTTATTTATTTAAGTTGGAGTCTAGCTTTGTCGCCCAGGCTGGAGTGCAGTGGCACAATCGTGGCCACCATAGCCTCAACCTTCTGGGCTCAGGCAATCCTTCCTCTTCAGTCTTCCAAGTAGTTGGAACCACAGGCACCTGCCACCACATCCAGCTAATTTTTTGACTTATTGTAGAGACAAGGTCTCACCATGTTGCCCAGGCTGGTCTCAAATCCCTGGGCTCAGGCAATCCTCTCTCCTCCGCCTCCCAATGCACTGGAGTTATTAAGTTTCAACATGAATTTTGGAGGGACACAAACATTCAAGCCACAGCAGACACCAACCATGACAGACAAAGGGAGAAGGAAAAAAGACAACTGTGTACAAGAAATGTTCACAAAATTTTAGAAAATAAGATGGGCTGGGCACAGTGGTTCATGCCTGTAATCCTAGCACTCTGGGAGGCAGAGGCGAGGGAATTGCCTGAACTCAGGGGTTCAAGACCTGCCTGAGCAACATGGCAAGACCTCATCTCTATAATAAATCAAAAAATTAGCTGGGCATGGTGGCTCATGCCTGTGATTCCAGCTACTTGGAAAGACTGAGGTGGAAGGATCACCTGAGCCCAGCAGTTCAAGGTTGCAGTGGCTGTAAGCATGCCACTGCACTCCAGCCTGGGTGACAGTGAGACCCCGATTCAAACAAAAAAAAAAAAGAAAGAAAAGAGAAAATAAGAAGATGGACAAGTGCCAACTGACTTGGCAAAATGGTGGCAGCTGAAACCCAAGTGCTCACAGCAGGGGATACGCACAAGATGCTGGTTAGTTTGCACAAGGGAATCCCAGAAAGACTCAGGAATTGGAAGACACAGGATACACCAGCAAGAAGGCACAGGTATGGGATTAAACGGAGTGGGGAGAGGGGGTTTGAAAATCTACAGAGGCTGGGCTCGGTGGCTCAGCCTGTAATCCCGCGCCTTGGGAGGCTGAGGTGAGTG